TTCTTTCTTTCTTTCTTTCTTTCTTTCTTTCTTTCTTTCTTTCTCTCTTTCTTTCTTTCTCTTTTCTTCGTAATAAATAACATAAATCATATGCTACTAATGAACTGTTAAAGGACACTCCGTTATTGCAGAGTTCAGAATAGAGGAACGGAAGAGCCGTTTACTTGGACCATTACACTAAATTTAGGGTACGGACACGTCCGGAAAATAATTACCGCCCTTGTCCGTCGTTTTTTCTCACTTACAGTGTTATTCATATTTGATCCTGAAACTGGACAAACTATGTAGGTTTTACACAATTAACATTTTAACACTTTCTAGCTGCGCACAGCAACGCTCCTATTTATAAGGAAACAAAATTGTTCCTCTCTATGAGTACACACAACCCTGTCATGAGCCCAAACTGCCGTGAAAATCCGACACCGAAGAAAAATAAAAATGAAATAATTTTATAATGAATGTAAAGGTAGTTTTGTTAGAGGCGAGAGGTAAAAGGCTGTGAGCACGTTCATACCTAACCCACGGCAGCTCCCTTGGCGAGTTAGCGCCGCTGTGCTAATCACCCCACGTGACCGAGGGTGAGAGAGAGAGAGAGAGAGAGCTAGATACTGCTCATTACGCAACGGAGAGCAACCCCCTCCTCCCACCATGCTTCCAGCAGCCCGAATTAGCCGTTTAGGACGAGCAAAGAGAAAAGAAATCGTCCTCCAAATGAGCAGAAATCGTTGTCGCCGACGTGCGGCCGAAAGAAAATAAAAATGGCCAGCTGCGGCCTGGTGCCGTCTGTTTTCTTATCATTTCACCACTTCGCGCACTGAAAAAAGTATATAGCACTAAAAAATACCCCCCGTATCTTCTCCGGTAAAAGACAAAAAAAACAACAAAAAACAAAACAAAAAAAACAACACGTTTTGCTATTTTATCCTATGCCGTACGGAAAATGTCTTGCGCTGTTAGTTGTACGATACTATTACTGTAGAGAGCAAGAGTTGTGTTTTCACTACTATCCACAGTTTACGCCACCGACAGCTGAAAACCTCAATAAAAACACCAGTATACTGCTGCTGTACTGCTGCATCCACCTCCCCCCTCTTCTCTCTCCCTCCCTCCCTCC